TTTGAAAATGAAATTGAACTCCAACTAACAAACTGAATTTGAAAACTTAAAAATGCTAGTATAAATCTTCTATAACAAATGTTTAAGGACGGGGGCTTGACACCCAGACACCCACTCCAAGATTAATCGATAGTTTATCGCCCTCAAAGAAGCTGCTTTTTTCAGAAGAAATTTAAAGATCACCCAAGGTTTCATTCCCATGTCCCATCAATATTTACCAGAATCGGACGGGATTTCACTGAAACCACAGAATAGATATCTCCAAAAACAGGAATCACCAATTTCATGATTACCGTCTATTAATTAATGTATGTTTAGAACTGTCTTTGTTGAAAGTATACTGTAAGTAGATTTCTAAAGCTTACCCTCAGAGACAGAACTGATTACATGGCTTGACAGACTGAAGCTAAGAAAAGAATTGTGCATCTTACAGGTGGCTGGGAAACAACAACATCAAAAAGTTACCTGAAAACTTGTTTGCGGGGCAGGATAAGCTAAAATATCTGTGAGTGGTACTAAATTGTTTAACTATGCGGCGAAAATTTTTTCATTTATACATATATGAAATTCGAATAAAACCTGAACTTAAGAAATGACCAACATTTCAGCATGGAAAGCTCGTTTCAGTTAGTCCACTTACACCACCCGAATATTCTGGTGGCACATTCACCTGTAACCAGCGGGCTTCAGTGTCAGTTGCAATCTCTGATCAGGAGTCGATCACTAACTGAATGAACTATCAAAGGAGTAAGACACAATGCATCTATCACTTAATCGTCATTGCTGACCTTAGTTTTGTTTGAGTCGTCCTGGATCGCAGGAACGGTTGAAAGGCGAAGAAAATAACTTAAAAGGAAGAATTTATTTTACCCGCTTTGACCTTACTAAAACTACAAACAACCCGAGCGTGGTTTATACTCTAAGATCGTCCCTATGGAAGTAGTCATGAAATGGTGCTGGAAATGATGTATGAGTTAACATTGACTTCATACAAGATGAGTGCGATTTTGGTCAGAGTCAAATGAGATAAAATTGCCTTGTCCATTTAAACTGGATAGTCATGAAGAAAATATGAACTTCGGTAAGTGACAAACTGAACCTCTTGCCTAGCCTTTAATGAGGACAACATTGTCCTGTTTATCACAGAATTCTACTTCTTTGGCTCGACTTTCTGAAAATATTTTCTGCCGTGATCAATTCATAGTTAATTTCTAATTTGTTACACTGATAATTGTATAGTAGGTGCACGAAACTATTACACAGTTCTGATCAGCTACAAAAGGTTGCATTTCTCATGTAACACGTTTGTAAATTTGAAACACAAGGTTAAAATTACAAATGAGCTTTGATTGGCTTAAAAACAAGAGAAATCAACAAAAACAAATAAAAGAAAAGTTTCTTTCGCAGATATGAGAGAAGAACGGCCGACGTGTTTGCACACAATAAGTTGGGTTTGCACGAACCTAGTCGCACTTAAAGTGCCGCTCTCGCTAAGAGCGGTCCTCTCGACTTCCCGTCGGAAAAAAGTTTTCTTTTATTTTTTGCCCATGAAAAGGGTTTAGGACACATGTTTCAAAAATAGTTAAGTTGTTCTCCAATTCTCTTTTTTTGCGTCGCCACAAGCCAAAAATGATTTTTGGCCAGACCACCTCTGTGGACAGCGATCGAAAGTGTACATTTCAAAGATTCTGTCCAGCACGCAGCGACTGCAACAATGTAGCTCACGGAATTCTATCACGCTACAAGTTACAAGATGTATTCAGTTAGTTCACAGACAAAATATGGAAACTTCAGCTGAAATATTTTTCATACCAGCGTGATTAGAGGAGACCCTTCTCCTCGACCTTAATTTGCATATCAAAAACTCACTACTTTGTACGAAAGAATTCTCAAAATGCAGGCGTTAATCGGGCTGAAAAAGCATATCAGTGCATACTTCATACACCAATGAGGTCACGGATGGCCTTAAACTCGCGGGTATATCTCTAGCTTCCATCCACCATCTTCTTAAAAACAACGCAAATTTATGTGTTTGCTCAATTGCGCTCGTGTCAAAGATCATTTGCATCATTCTGAAAATGAACCAAGATCTCCTTTTGACCGTTCAAACTTCGTTCGTTCATTTTCTACGTTGAGGATTTTAGGTTTTCATAGCGACTGAATGGAGATTAGATGCCGAGTTGTCCTACAAAACGTTGCGTAAACGTGATCGGCTTGCGCGCTTGCGTGACTTACAAAGTAGACAAAGGTGATCGGAAGGCGCTTTCTCGATAATTTACGTAGAAATATCAGGTCATGAACTACGCACAGTGTGGAGAAGATCAAAATTAAAGAAGGGAATTTGGCACTCTGGTCATAACGGACATATCGCGTTGCTTAAAAGGACACAAAAACAAGTTAAAATAGGTTACAGTGTTTATATTTACAAAACAACACGCATACACTCTGAAACAATTCTTGCAGTTTCTCCAGATATTTAGTTCACAGAACCCGATGAACTAGCCCTCCTTTCTGCAAATTTGTTTCCGTCATTAATAATTTTACGCTCTTATGGACCACAACGGTTTTGAGCGAAAAACTCGACATTTCCCTGCGACCATCAAAATCAACTTGACAAACCCGGCTTGATATATTGCGTGACGTGATTGTGCAAATTTTCCCCCTTGCCATATGGCCTGTTTCGCGAGTTCTACAAATTGAAACCAAAATTAGTTAGTGTAACGAATTAGAATCGAAATTTATTAAAATGGACCGAAGAATTTTACATTTTAGTGAGAATTTTAACTTTTAACTATTTTTGAAACATGTGTCCTAAACCCTTTTCATGGGCAAAAAATAAAAGAAAACTTTTTTCCGACGGGAAGTCGAGAGGACCGCTCTTAGCGAGAGCGGCAATTAAGAGAGCTTCTTCCGGGCTGAATGTGTGAAAACATGGTTTTAAGCCGCGAAAAGTAATGGCAACGGGATCGTGGAAAAAAGAGCCAGCGAATGAAACAAATCACTTGAAAGTTTCTAAAACGAAAAATGATTGAAAATACGAGTTAAATAGCCTAAAAGGGATGATAGCTACACTCGACAGGTAATTAGATGTACAAGTCAGACTATGAGAGGTCCATAACAAAAGCAGACGTCCGTATAAAGCGCCAAGTTTTACTGAAGAGGAAGAGGAGGTGCTATGGAAGGCAGAAACTTTTGGTTCTAAAACTCCACACGCTCTTATTTCTTCTATGTGGTGGCTTTAAATGCTATCTTTTGGTTCCCGTGGCCGTCAAGAGCATCGTGGAATGAAGTAAGATGACTCAACTATGAAAAAATGACGAACGCGTGGAGTTCGTGTCGTTTACAGAAGGTCCAAAAAAGACGAGACAGGGCGAGCTTTAGAGTAAGAACATAGATTTCCAGCCTGATTGAAAAAGGTTTCCGGTAGCTCTCTTCAAGCGGTTTGTCTAGCGAGGACCTCTAAATATGCAATGGCTGGGTACCTTCTACCTCAGTGTCTAACGGAACTGAATTGAATGACAATGTCCGCTTTAAAAGCCAACCGTTGAGCCAATGATGCAACGTGATGAAAACAATTGGGGTGGGTAGTAGCCTTCAACAAAGGATGGAAAAGGTCACGAATCACAGTGCAGGAGCCGGCCCATTATGAGCAGCATCGAAGGAAAACCAATTTCTACTTTTACATTCGGGTTTGAAGTCTCTGCGAATGCGGTCACATCTATAACGAGGTATCAAGAAGAACAGACCATGGTGAAGACACTTAAAAACTGACAAGTTTCTCTCATGCTTGGCCGCTCAAAGCGCGCACCAAGGATTTGAAAGCGACGGTCGAGTTCTAACAGATGCTAAGCTTTAATAGTCGAGTTTGAATCTGATAGACCAGTACAAGCCGGGCACTTTTGCTGATCACTGCACAATGAATTTTCTTCAGAACGTTTTTGAATGGTTTAAAATCAATCTGCACACGTTTCCAAGCTTACAGCTGAATAACTTTTGAATGAAAGTCTTGATAAAGTTTGAATTTAACAAACGCTGTAATCTGTTTCGGCCAATCATTTGGATGCATCTCAAATAAAATAGCAGCGTGCGGTGTCAAAATTTCCCTTATTTTGATCTTCTTTCTTCCTTTTTTCTTTTATATTATATTACTTGTTAATTTTTCAGACTAAAAATTGCACTAATCCAAGAGGCTTTTGTTCGTCTGAAAAATGTGTTCGTGCTTTTTTAAACGCTTATTTAAACAAGCTTCAATGCTAAATAATGTGATTACCCATGCAAACCGTAATTCAATACATTTTGCTCAATTTAAAACTATATTGTTGTTCTCCCAATGCAGGCGGTTGGGCGGCAATCAGTTGAAAGAGCTATCACGTGAAATATTTCTTGATTTGTCTGCCTTGGAAGAATTGTAAGTAACAATTTTTTCCAAAAGTTTTAGAGATATCACTATTCTGTACATTGCGTTTGTATGAGATCCACTGTTATCAACTAGTTTAAAACACAGCACTGAATTATTAAGAATAAATCTATTAATCTTCGCAAATTTGAAGTAAAAGATTTTTATCACTGAACATCTAATGATAATGATTCGTCAGTTTTCAGCGATTAAAGTTGATTCTGTCAATTATCAGGGAGTGGACCTGTCCCGATTGTGCCCGTATTATGTTGGAAAGGTTCTCACCGAACCGCTAGAAAAATTCTGAAAAAATGGCTAAAAGTCCAAAAAGGTTGCCACCTGAATTTTGAAAGTTGCCACCTAAATTTCTTGATACTTTTCTATAAACATAAATTAAAAGCTTTATTTTTGATTCCTCTCAATAAATGCTAACATAGGTCAAGAAAAATAGCTTGAAACTTAGCTTTAAAGAGTTGCTTGCAAATATGGGCCAAATTTATATATACTCTTGAGTTTAAAGGAACGAAACACATGGTTCATTAGACGCTTTGCCGAACGATATGAAGGAGATTGAATGAAACTAGCTCTACTGATTGCATTCTCAGAGTCTAAACCATAAAACTCTTAAAGTTTTCAATGAAATCGTTGGCTTTTTCGTGCTTTATATGTGCTCTAAACCTACCTTGTTCAGAAAAATTGCTCAGAAAAGGCACGAATTGCTCAAGGTTGTTAGAACCACAAAAACTTGCTCCTAACCTCAAAAGGTGCTCAAAAGTTGCCGAGCGCAATCGGGACAGGCCTATCAGGGAATACACAGCCAGTTGAATGACGAGCTTGCTGATGTAGGGGAGGGGGCAGAGAGAGTTAATCTTCTCAAATTTTTAACAAAAATTCGTGATTCTCTAATTTTAAACGTTGTCTTAAACATCAAACATCAAACACGTTTTCTGTTATCTTTAAATGAACGCACAATCAGACAAAGAATCTATTTGTATGATAATGAAGAAACAGAAAGTTGTTAACGGTGATGTTATCTAGGGGGTGCCTCGACCAAAAGATCATCAGTTAGGATCAATAAAAATGCATATATAATTCAGCTTATTAACAAATTTTTTTAAATTGATTCATCGAATATGGGTGCCTTGTCACATGGTGAATCAAACAGCTTGCATTCACATTTAAGTTTGTCGATAAACTAGCCTGCATACAACTGTTTTTTGGTATAATGATTGAAAATTTTTAGTTAGGTGTTGTTGAATAAATTTTGTTGGATGAGAAATACAGTAATCTTCGATGGAAAGGTCAAAGTCGACACATATCAAAATCATTTTCCTGATACGGTTCAAATAAAGTCGATGCATATAATAGTGGGCATAACATCTATTTATGACACTCGAAAACTTATTTAGTTAAGGACATTTGTCCCATTATTTAAAAGTGTTTGTTAACTGCACTTTTGACAAGTTCTATTCACTTCGCTCCCCGATTATTTCATTGCTAGGGACTTGTCCTACAATCAGTTGCAGTTTTTGCCCCGAGGGATACTTAACAATAATATCAAGCTGACAGAACTGTAAGTAAAACTGATTGTAAAAAAAAAAAAAAAAAGAAAAGCAAAGTTACAGGTCCAATATAGATAATTAATGATGGTGGTCTTTAACTACTTGAAGAGTTTGCTTATTTCTGCTTCGACGTGATCCGTTATCGGCGGATGAATTGATTCACTAAGTGGGTTTTATTTAGGGTTAGAACTCAGAATGCGTTCGGTGGGGCGGGCCTACTATTAATTATTGTCTCAAAAGAAAGATCTCTCAGTTTACTGCATGTAGCTATTTTTCACTGAGTGAATCTGCTGCATACATATTGGTGATTCCTGGCCATTATTTATGGGGTATTCAAAATGTCTCTATTCGCAAAATTTATATCTAAAAACACGTTGCGGTATAAAACTGGTTGGCTCGTTTGGCTCTTGTTTAGCTCATACCAGAAGACTTAAGTAGCGGGCTATCAGCCAATTATTAAAATAGGATTTAAGTTCTTGAATTGTTATTTAGCTTACTGTTATCTCAATAAATACTCTAAGGGATTTATCAAACAACGAAATTCAGCGTCTGCCCATGGATGTTTTTGGCAACCTAACTCAGATGAAAAAGCTGTAAGTGGCATTCAGTACAAACTCCATAGCAAAGGGAATTATGATGTATAGTTTTTCATAGCGCTTGAAGTAAACATATGCATTATGACCATTCTAAAAATAGAGTTTTGCGGATTTAGATTTTTTTATTATTTCAAGATGCGTACTGCCTTTATATAATGCTAACTTTGGTGGAGTTGGTCATCGAGAACAATTGAAAAAAAGAGGTCAATATTAAATTCAATTGTCTCACACAGCCTTTTGCTTCACGTGACTTGTGACTATAATTTTTTCGCTGAGTAACCAGGGAACTCTGTTAAGATTGATTTGTGATGTAAGTGACTTATTATAGTTTGGTGCATCAGTACTGAAAAGTGATGTCATGATATGAAAACGCCCATGTTAACAATTAATGTGCAAATGGTATCTTTTGCCTAAATTCTCAGGATCAGGAGTAAACAGTTTATATACTCAGAAAAAATGGGTAGAACTTTGTAATTCTTCAAAATAGCTTTGCCAGAACCAATTGGGTTTTATTTCATGCCTATTCGGAGAGAACAAGAACCTTTCCAAGAATCTCAAATTCTATTTCAACTGACTTTTTTTCATTTTATATATCACTCACAGCTTACTCTCCAGTAACAAACTTCAGCGCTTGCCAAGGTTCAAAAATCTCTCCGAGTTGAAAATATTGTAAGTGATTCACGTTTGTGATATAACTGGCTCAGTACGTGTCTTGTATAATGAGCATTAATTAAAGGTAGCGTTGGCCAAAACCAAAGGATCAGCTTGGATACGGACTATTTCTCTGGCATCTTCTTATGACTTAAAAGTTTGTTTAAGGATGTTAATTGAGTAAAAAGTTAAAAATACGCATCCATTTTGGAAAGAGATGCCATCAACAAAGAATTACCAGGGTTCAAATGTTTAAGGTGATAGAACAAAATATAATACAACACATCCCCTACAATACTTTAATAACACCCTTCCCTTGGGGCTTGACAAGGACCATATGCTAGAAATGATCGCTGATGATTGATGATTAACCCAAATTAAACTTTAACAATCGATTGTCATTTTTCTTAAAAAAATGTATTAAAATTCTTCAGCGGCTTTCAAAACGTTTTCGTCAATATTGAGTTTATTTGGGATTTTAAATGAAAACACAGGATCTATAAATTCCAGTTTTTAAATAACATTTTTCTGGCAGCTTTTCCAGATGTTCCAGAAAAGGGTTGTTCAAACTAAAAGCATAAAATTCTGGGTGATGCGATTAGAAATACGAGCTTTAACTCGTAAATGGGCGCACGTCCGATCATTCATTTAAATGTCACAGTAGCGTTACCATGGTTAAACCATTGTTTACCTGGTGGCCAGCACAATCCTTTTGGTGAGGGCGTAACACGATGGAACTTATTTGTTCTTGTCACGATGCACGCGTCAACGTTTTGGTCCAAATACATTTATGGGATGTTTTTTCAGGAAGTGTTGGAGCACACTGATGAGCAGTAGAACAGTTTGCCGAATACCAAGGCGCTAATACGCTTTCGAAGGAGGTTTCCATAATAAGCATGTTTAATTCGACTGACTTTAATTAAGGATGAAACAGTTTCTATAATATAAGACAGGGTTTGGGACTAAATTAGTCTCGAGGTCCTCAAAAGATTATGCTGAGTCAAGGTTACTTAAGAATCAATAAGTTTCGCAGTCACTTCTGTGCTGCCAAATATCATTAAGGTCAATAATACCTCCCCCATCAAAGACTCTGTAATTATACCGAGCGTCTGTTGCATTTTATTGTGTAGATACCTGTATAACAACAGCCTCGTACACCTGTCACCTGATCAGTTCCAAGGCCTGTCCAAACTGGAAGAACTGTAAGTAAATATTCGATGGAAATCATATCTGACCGCACATGTAACTATTCTTGACCAAATATGTACTTAACCAACTCAGTAGGGCGAATAGACCTTTCTTTCCTCCTCCCACCACTTTTTCCCAAAGTTTCGCTAAATTTTGAAGCTAGTGTACTTTGATTGGATGAACCTCAGAAACCCAAGCAGAATTCTGAAAAAGATTCTTTGTCATCCATCCAAGATAGTAACTTCCACCTCGGATTTCTTCAGAAAAAGACAGGAAAAGAAGAGAATTAGAGATGTAGCAATTCTCTCCCTCACCCCCGAAAAAAATCAACAGATCAGTGAAACAATACTTTTTATAGAAGTCCAAATATAAGCATGCGCTAAGTTTTAACATTTTCAGCGAGGTAACCGCAAACTGCATATCAGTGTAACTTTTACGCATCCCTGGCTGTGAGTTTTTTTTTTTCACCTTTTTATTATGTTTTCAATATCGGATAGCTTTGAAGATATCGTAGGCAGAGGGCATTTAAGAATCAATGAAGATAAGAAGGAAGTTTATGTAAATACGTGCTTACCTCTAAATTTTTCTACATTTCTGATAATAATGATGTGCCCTCTATGTTGTTCTAGGGCTGTTTACGAAAACAATATTGACTACCTGCCACATGAAGTTTTTAAAGGCATGAAAAACATGATGTCTATGTAAGTATCTGTCTCTAAACTATCCTCTTATTAACGGTAACGAGGTATTGTAAAATTAGTAAGGGTCTCGTGAAGATGCAATCATAGCAATGTTAGGAATCTCCGTTATCTAAGACAAACTCCGCTCGGGAAGATCAAGAGACCCACAAAGCTGCACACCAAAAACATGGACAATCTTCTACCCCCGAGGACAGATCATACCTTATGATCAAAACCATGTGTGATGGACGACGAAATATTTACGATAGTGAAAGTGAAAACAGGCTGACTAAGAGATCATATTTACTAGAGGTAGAGAGAACTACCAAAAGGCAAATCAGACAAAACCTTGGGAAACACCAGGTCTCTTTAACCACCAAAAACAAAATCCTGCTAAGGTATCCCCTTCCAGATTCAAACACTGAGTTTACAAAGACTTCGACCGCGAAAACCTCTTGAGGATAGGTATGACAATACTCATGGGGTTATTTAAATCGGCATCGGCCACGCGGATAGAAATAGATCTGGAACCTAAATAGAGAATGTTTTTTTCATTCTTGATAACTTAACTGTGACTTTGAAGAAGCTCTTAGTAATGCGAAAATTCGTAAAAATACTTATGTGACATTATTGTATGACCCATTGTCTAATGCACGGTGAGGTTCTTTTCTCGTTGCAGAACATTTTGAACAAATGGAAGATATTGCCTTCCATTCTTGGCTAATTTTCTGTCCAGTGTTGTTTTAATTTACGCTTTAATGCTTGTCAGTTGACGCTCTACGCTTTTCATTGTTTCATCGTTCTGTAGGAGCTTTTATTTCAACAATATCCGTACCGTTAGCAACGAACAATTCAAAGATGTCGCCCCAAGTATTCGATTCCTGTGAGTATGAGTAAACTGGTAATATTCCAGGTGTGTTCAAACTACTTCGAGTTCAAGGGAAACAGATATTGTTGGTGCGACCTTCACGTGCCGTAAACTCACGGATAAGCGCCCCTCCCCCATTTTAAAGGATGGACAAGTGATCATACCACTGGCCGAATTGCTTAGGCAGGGAAATTGGAGTAAACGATTTTCACATACATACTACCACTGATACTAGAAGTTAGGATCGGCTTTGTTCACTAATACACAGTTTATACTTTTATTTACGCCCAAATGTTATACTCCTTGGGACGATCATATCTGGTCACAAGAAAAAGTCTGGGAAAAACTTAAGGAAGGGTCCCTCCGCATAAAGTACCCTCTCTGTAATGAGCGACCCATCCTAAATTCGAAATGAGTGCATCAGATACTCATTGCAGTATTAAAAGCATATCAGTATAACAAATAAAGTCACTTTGGCATAGCCTGTGTAAGTATATCGTACACACTCAATGACAAATTGCTCGTCTTCTGTTTTAGTTTTCTATCGAATAGTTGTTGAGAATTGGGCAGGAAAAGGAACAAGAGAGAGCCGGAAAACTGATTAATAAATAACGGTAACAGGACCGAGTGGAGTCCAGTTCGATCTGTAATCATACAAGTGACCAGCAAAATCGGACGACCGCGAGGCGGGAGTCCGATTTGTTAATCACGAGTATGATTAAGGACAGAATTGGACGACGAGAAGTCCTGTTACCAGTTTATCATAACCATTTGAAATTTCGTAAAAACAAATGCACCTAAAACAAACATCTCCAGTGGGGACAATTTCCTCAGTTAAAAATTCCTCCATTTTGGAAATTCCCCATTTTTCCCTTGGATAAGTGGTTGTTGCTGTGATTATTTTGATCATTTCTGTGATGGGTGGATTAGCTGAGTGGACTTAGTACGATTGGTTGCTTCAACTGTCCGATTACAGGTTTCCGATTGCAGCCAACTGTCCGATTAAACTGTCCTATTATAACTTTACAGAATGATTAGTGAAAAATGAAGCTGCGGATGCACCAATAACATTTCAGGAATTTGTAATGGTTGTGATTAATAGGCTAAAGATGTCGATGTTATCAAGAATTAGCGAGCAAAGTTTGCCTGAATTGCTTTCCTTTAATTTGCAGGTACCTCCATTACAACGAAATGCGAGAACTACCGGAGGGTTTCTTTACAAACATGAAGAATCTAATAACTGCGTAAGTCAAGTGGAATGTTCTCCACGCGAGGAGTTTAAAATTGAAAAATTTCATTTGCCGGTGCTCAGTTATACTGCGCTTACTTTATTATTATTACACTTTCATTTTCTTACAAATTTAGATCCTGTGAGGGATCAAATTTGTCTTTTTTTTTCCCTTTTGTTGTTCATCTGAACTCTTTTTATGAACCGTAGGACTGTAGACACCAACCTGATGTGTTGCCATTTGACGAAGGAGGATGCAGATTGCGACTTTGCTTATGTCGACAGCTTCGCCAGTTGTGAAACTTTGTTCAGAAATCGAGCTCCCAGGGAGTGCCTCTGGGTGATTGGAATTATGTCGTTGGTTGGTGCTGTGTTTGTCATTGTGTGGCGGTTGGTGTTTAGGGAGACGAAGAAGAAAAACAAGATACAGTCCATCATGTTGATACATTTGGCTGGGTCCGATGGACTTATGGGTGTCTACCTCCTAACTATAGGTGTGGTGGATGCCATTTGGGCAGGGGAGTATTATTTGCATGACTATTACTGGCGTTCAAGTTTGACATGTCAGATAACAGGTGCCATTGCCGTGTTGTCAAGTGAGGTGTCTGTAATGACGATTTGTTTGCTCTCCGCCGACCGGATGAAGAATGTTCTGTTCCCCTATCGTGGAAAGTCCCTTACACTTAAGGTTACGCACCTTTTGTGCTTCCTTATCTGGATTGTTGGTGGCATAATTGCATTTATTCCCACGGTGGGCTTCGACTACTTCGGTAGTCGCCAGAAAGGTCATCACTTTTATGGCAGATCAGTTGTATGTCTGCCATTGCAGCTTTCCACAGATAAGCCGTCGGGCTGGGAGTACTCTGTTGCCATGTTTGTGGGTTTAAACTTTACCCTTGTGCTCTTTGTCGTTGTGGCATATGCGATGATAATCTATAAGTCCTGCGCATCAAACAGGCGCATGGCTAAGCAAGGGACCGAAAGAGAGAGGAGAATGAAAGCCAAGGCAAGGGCAGCCGATCTAAGGAGGGAGGCCTCGCTCGCCAAAAGAGTGTTCTTCATTGTTCTTACCGACTGTGTCTGCTGGCTGCCTATTGTGGCGATTGGAATGAGGTCTCTCTTGGAAAAATCCTTCCGTACACCTGGTGACCTCGCAGTTTGGATCGCAGTCTTTGTTCTGCCGGTTAACTCTGCCATCAATCCCATTCTTTACACCTTGTCTACCCCACAGGTACATGTACTCATAACTTGAGCGGTTGGAAAAGTATATATTCAGCCAATAAGTTAAATTTTGCATTTATATCATGTCTCTCAGATCACAGATCACATCTAAATTCGACAAGAATAAATAAGTGAAACACGAACCGCCAAGAAGTGTCTCACTGTGTATAATTTTACCGTATTTTATATCAGCTGGTAAACTTGATTTCCGCCATTTCTGAGATCCCTTTGCCTCAGAACTCTCTTCTGTATGTAAAACGTGCACGTTTTCATTGTATCGCACTCGGTTTGAGAGTGGCTGGAAAGCTGCGCAAACGTAGTTTGCATTCCTGGGGAAATCAAAGACTCGAAGGGTTTAAAAACTGGTGAGGAAGCACTATTTACTGATTATAACCTCGTGTTTTGTTTCGATGTATTAAGGTCCGAGGAGTCATCAGAGCCAAACTCCAACCATTGTGGGATTATCTGGTGGCAAAACTCGGCCGAAATCAAGATGTTGAAGGTAATTTTTGACACTTTAAATAATCTTTCATCATTCTGGGGAGTATTTTTCTCGTTCTTTAATTTTTTGGTTTCATGCCATAAAGTTACGTTTTAAACAGGTTTAAGAGCAGATATACCGTGAGTTAATCAATCAGATCGGCTCGTAAGCCAAGAGATACTTTTTGGTTACCCATATGAATAAGAAACAAACAGATCTATGTATTTAGTGGCGCGTGAGCTTGAGTATTTCATTTAAACACATAGGTTGACTCAACCTCAAATGATAAAAAAAGACGTTGCCTCATGAATGAATAATTTGTTATTGCTGATGTTTTGTCCGCTTGCTTGTATTTTTCCGTCAGTTCAAGATCAGGGAATAGAGATGAGAGTCATCGAAGAAGGTACGCACCATTCACTTCTCCACAGACTAAAACAAATTTCAGAACGCAATACCTAGCATTCAAAAACCAAGAGCAAAACAGAAAAGCCAAAGAAAAGCATTGTTGTAACTTTGAAGCAATTCGGTTCGACCTTTTTGCCATTATAAGAAACGCGTAAAAAGTAATTTAGCCTCCAGTTTGAAGTTTACAGACAACCACATTTTGAGTCAATTTAATTACTGTAATTTTTCTTTATGTAATATGCTTAATCCTACTTTGACTGATTCTCAATTATTATTTAGTGGAGGGAAGACTTATAGATTTTTTCATCACTAACAATATTTCGCTTTTTGTCATAAAACACTCACATAAAAAATCGAAATGGGCTAAGAACATCGGAGACTTAATCGGCTGAGTCCAGTGCACCACATTTTTGATGTTACCACATTTTGTCGTCATATGTTATCTATGAATGAACAGACGCACGGCAACATAGGCTACTTGTTTGGTCGACCGTGAAAAGTTTTCAAATAATGGTTTTAATAAGGTATCAAAGCCACAAAGAGATATTCGGAAAGAGTAAAAGCGGAGCGTAAATGATTGAGGACGGAGAAGTTACACGATGCGGTTACCAAATGCAAAAAGCACGGTGTAGTTCGTTTAACAAATTTGGCGATTTGGCCAACTACAACCACCTGAGGAAACACTTTTTAACCTTATTCCCTTTTTGTGTTTATTTTATTGAACACAGTACAAAACCAAGAGGAAGTGGGGAGCACTGACGATAGTGAGGATGAATCGCAAGAAGAACAAGGAGATGGTGAGCACCATGCAAGATCAGGCGAAGACAATGAACAACCTTTTGAATCCCAGCAGGTTGAACATGAACAAGACGAAGAACCAAAACAAGGAAAAGAAGAAGCCACTGAAAAGCAGCAAGTTGAACGTGAACAAGACGAAGAACCAAAACAAGGCCCAGAAGAAGCGACTGAACAGCAGGAAGTTGAACGTGAACAAGACGAAGAACCAAAACAAGGCCCAGAAGAAGCGACTAAAAAGCAGGAAGTTAAACGTGAACAAGACGAAGAACCAGAGCGAGGCCAAGAAGAACCCACTGAACAGCAGCAGGTTGAATCTAAAAGAAACGAAGCACCAAAAGATGACCATGAAGAACCAACTACAGAGCAGGAAGTTGAACAAGATCATCAAGCAGATTCAAAGGGAAACAAAGAAGTAAGTGAGACGCAACGAGAAAAACAGGAGCTAAATGAAGCCGATGAAAAACCTGAGCGAAAGCTGAAAGGAGACGACCAGGAATCCAAACAACAGGGCACTCAACAACAAGAAGAAAAAGAACCGAACGTCGACCATGCAGGGCCTGATGAGCTAAAGGATGCAAGTAAAGAGAAGAACAAGTCGAAAAGAAATGAAAACGAAAGTGAACAGCAACAAGAGGAAAATGAACAAGATGAGCAGGAGAAAGAAGAACACCCTAAAGAAACCGAAAAGCAGCAAGTTGATTGTCATCAAGAAGAACGAGAACAAGACCATAAGGATCCTAAACTCGAGAAAATTGGACAAGAAAAGCCAAAAGGAGACGATGAAGATTCTAAGAAAGAGCAACTGGATTATGAACAACCAAAAGAAGACCATGAAGAACCTATGAAAGACCAACTGCAGCAAGAAAAACGAAAAGGAGAGAATCAGGAACCTAAACAAGAGCAACTGGAAACTGAAAAGCCAAAAGGAGAGTATGAAAAACCCAACCAAAAGCAACTGGAAGACGAGAAGTCAAAAGGAGCATGTGGGGACTCCCCACAGCAGGCTGATGAGTCCGCGGAAGATAAATCTTCACGACAGCAGCAGCTGATTGCAGACGAAGGTATGTTTTGCCACCCTCCATTTTCGCCAAAATTCAAAGTTTTGGAGCATTAATTTCTCGTTTATCAGTCTGGGTAGAAGAAATATATCTTCATTACTCCAAAACTCTTGGTTATTTGTTTTAGGCGACAATGTTAACTAAAGTATCATGATAATGAGTTGCTTTGTTATTCAACAGGAGATTACGAAGAAGATGATGCGGTACTGGATACACGTCTGTAATTGCTAGCATTGACTCATCAAGTGTTTTTTAGTTCTAGTTATCGTTTTAGTAATAGAAAGGTTACATACCGTTATATCATTAAAATGACGCATTTATTTAACCAAGAGCATTAGAGGATAACTCATATAAGGTATTACAGTGACTAGTGCGTGCCCGCAATGTTTGTTTTCAATTTTTGATAGTCTGAGTTGTCGTAGACAAGTACAAACAGCTACAGGAGAAAGGAAGTTAGTATGGTATGCTAAATAGATAATCGTGAAAGCATATTTACGGCCGTGTTGCGCTTCCAGTGTCGTCAGAAGTTTCTGCAACTGATTTTATTTCAATATGATTAGGTTTATTAGTACTTATAAACATGATTTAACTATCTACTCAGCATTCAGTTGCATCTATTACTCATTATTTATTGACTTTAGTCCTTGCATGTTATTTAGTAGGTGGCTTAATTGTTTTTACAATGCGACGCCACTAATCGTATTTACTCCACTGCACACATATATCAAGTGCACAGGTCAGATAATGTATTTTCATCTGGCTCCTTTATTTATTCACCTTTGTTGTTAACCTACGATTTAAGTTAAAATTTTGTAGAAGCTTGCACAAAAATATAAGAAAAAAGTATCACAGGAGTGAAACCCAAGTGAGAATGTTACAAAGGTGTAAAGTGTTTCATAATTTGTTGTCAAGCCATTTAGTATCTAATTAAAAAAAAATCATAAAATTTTAGCTCTCACTTTTTTGTCTTCTAATAATTGAACAATCCTGGAGTTCAATAGTGTAAAGAGTATCTTATAACTGGAAAATCACCTTTGATGCTGGAAATCAATTCAGTTGCTGCAGGATTGTTCAAAATAAGTTGAATCAGATTGTCAGTTGACTGATCAACCAATAATACGGGACGTGAGCTCCAGGGAAAGGTTGAAATTCAAGCACAGAAATGGTAGGAGAAGTTGAATGTAAAGATTCCATCAACAAGCTTTCTTGTATCTCCATAAATTTTGAATGAAGATCATGCACCGTTGTCTCCTAGAGTCAGTGACAATCCCTGGCTTAATGTTACTACTGCCACCAAGAGATATATATATATATATATATATATATATATATATATATATTGTAAGCGCTAATATATGTCGCAGAGTTTGTCTCGTATTTTCTTTTGGGAAGAAGCAACGAGGAACCCGTATTAATAAACTGATATAGTTTTTGGGTTTGGTGGACTCGTGGGAAAAAAAAAAAAAAATGTTGGCGCAGTAGACAGCGCGTAAGTCTCGTGATCAAGTATTGAAGGTCTGAGTTCTCCTTTATATTTAAGATACACGGCAAATATTTTTATTTTGCTTGCTAAATCTTATTTACCCTACTGCACGATTGAGAAGTCCTGCAAACGAATGGTGCCTCAAGATCGATCCCATGAACGATTTTCAGGTCACGCGGCTGACTAACAAACCTCATGAAGGCTTCATAGAATTTATATTACAAGGATATAAATTGAGGTAAAAAAATAAGTATCACTATTTTAGATAATTATCTATTACTCCCTGGACTTCACTGTCTGGTTTCCACTCCCCCACAAAATCGAACAGAAGTAGGTTTGCATTCCCCCGCAAATTTGAACAAAAGAAGTAGCGGAAAGTGTGGGAACGAGATGACGGCCGGTTTGTTTTGTCTCTCACCTGTATTGAGCGATCACTTAAAGCGATCACTTAAAGTTTAACTACTCAAAGTCGATGTTAACACTATTTTTGAGCGAGTGTTGGTGGTCAATTTACGGTATGAAGTGCCTTTTTTGTCGTTTTTTTAATATCCAGGTTTTGGGACTTTCGCCTCGCTATTCCCCATGGCTGACCTCATAATGCAGGTTTGACTGTACTTCGTAGCGCGACTCAAAACCAAAGTAATAATCAGCCGAAGTTACCGCGGCATAAGGAAAAAGAGAGTTCGTTTTATCTTAGACCGTAGGTTAACAGTGTGGCGTGAGTCTTATGATCTGCATCACTGGTTTTCTTTTAGCTAGAGTTGTTCCTTGATATGTCTCGAACAATTCATAAGCCCAACTTATTATACAGTGAAAAAAAATGATGCAAGTCTTCTTTCTTACAAACTACCATGTATCCTAATTGGAAAGCTAATCGGTGCATCAAATTTGTGAGAAACAAAAACTCCGTATGAAAATGAGTGTATTGTTTAGTGAGCTGAATAACTTTGGTTGGTTTATAAATGAATGAAAATAGCTGCTTAAATTAAGCAGCCACTTGAGACTCAAAAACTGTCTTTGTCCCGTCCTGTCAAGCTTTCGCTGGACAGGCCACGTACTAATCAGAAATCTACATCCTGTACTTTGAGCGTTGAAAGAGATCTTTTCCCTGATAAATATGATGCAACTGTTTTTCAGCCGACTGAAATCTACGATTCGAGGTGGTACTTGAAGCAAGCACTGTTGCACCGGCTAGACAGCGCTGACCTTGATGGAAAATAACGACCTCCTTCGGATTGCAGGTCTTCATTGGCCCCCATAGCTACGACAGAGATCTTTGGCACCATCGGCTCGTCGGGTTTCTTCGTAGTCCTCTCCGGGTCCGGCACCGAAATGAAAAGAAGAGTCGGGGGACATTTGCTCCGCATAAATGGCTATTATTTTAGTGACACTGATGGGGAATAAAGACACTGAAATGTAAATACCAGCTGTACTCGTCGTCCACAGCAGCATTCTCCGAAGTTTTTGGCGAAGGGTACGAACGATCATGATTGCATGTTATTGAAATTTCTTTCGATTTCCGTCCAACAGCAGAATTTGGCGGATGCAACTTTGTGTTGATATTTAGACTTCGCCGAATTGTGTCCGCTTGAACGGACGTAGCATTTGACACTGTATGTATCACCTGGCACGTTTGTTCTTTAGAATTTGCGATTGCTTGTCTTTCAATAAAAGATTTGTTAGTGTCAAACGGCGGCGCGAATATCAAACACACGTAAAAATTCTCGTCATTTTATGGCTCTTCTCAGGGCTGGAAAACCTTGCAAAACACCGCACTTTCAATAATAAAGAATGTTGCAGTAAGATGAATTAAATGTAGGTTTTATGACTGCAAGACTTAGTGCAAAACTTCATTATTTGAGTTTAGCTGGTGTTTACAGGTTGGAAAAAAAATATATGTATAGATAAATATTGCCGCCATAACTAGACTTGAGAGCACTCCTACTCGCTATTAAATTGCATGTTTGTCGAAGAGTGCTGAAACATTGACATTAGCTGACGTTGAATCGATGGAGTCGGAGTTCTTAAATTTGCGTTGTATTTTGAGCTAAAAACCTCCCAGAAAGGGAGTTAAAAAAGACTTCATTGAGGAACTCGAAAAAAGTGTTGAAGACAAAAGTAGTCTTAATACAAGCATGTCAACACAATTTGCACCACATACGTGGCAAATAATTGGCTTGAAAAGAGCGATGTTGTTGAGGACGAGAATTAATTGACGGAGTTTACTCGAAACAATAACTGTCAGATTCTGAAGCATTTTCACTGAGAAACACGCGCAGCGTGGAGAGAAGAACTTGAACCATCTACACAGAACAACAATCAACGGGGCGAGTTTTCTGGAATTAAAAAAATTTGGAAATCATTCCAACAGAAGTGTTAAACACGACCAGATCGCAGACTGCAGAATTCCTTGAGTTCCAGCGCTACTGAAAGTTTTTAAAACTAATGAGGCGAACTGATTTGAAGCCTCAAAATAATTTGCATTTTTTAGCTTTCTGTGTGTCCGTTTCCACGTGATGAGATTTGTAAAACAGTTCTTATCAGCATAAAAGGTGACAGTCTTGTTTTTCAACCACAATTTATCCCTTTGTATGTTGTTATGTAACACTCGATCTGAAACTATCTTCCTCGTGTGCTTGCGACCCTCGTCATCTTTTCGCGCCGTTTGTAGACTCGTACTATTCTTCTCACGGCCACTCCATAGAGTGCCTGACATATTTCATCGCCGTAACTTCAAAATAACATCACTGGAGATTTTACTGAATTTAGAAAGAGTGAATAAGTAGACGTACCTTCTTGGTACGCTTCGGCAACAAATCAGGCTTGCTTGTTATCGCCAGGGGTATATTGGCTCGACTGCGTACCAAAATGGTACGATTAGGTGAGAACTGGGTAAAATATCTATTAGATCACGGAAGAAAGAACACGTGGATGATTGTCGCGAGCGATGGCGCTGGCAAGAAGAGCGAGAGTTTTCGACAGGCTGTATTTTAGTACAAAGCAAAAAGGCGAAAAGGTTTAAGAACTTCAGTGCCTTCAGAGGATGAAGTCCAACATCATATCACAATCTGCCGCTTCAATTAAACAATGGTCGAAAGTAAGAGTGAGGATTCTGACACAACTGCAAAGAGCGCCGAGGTGAGTCTGTATGTTTTATCATTTCACCGTGCGAAACGATCCTTTAAAAGTTTCAGTAGTCTTACTTTAAAAATCTTGCTCGTGCTAAACAGAGAGAAAGCTCTTCGTGGGTAAACAAACCATGCCTTCCTCGAGAGGTCGATTATCGTCGTGGACAAACTCGTAAGAAATACACCATTTGCATGTTAGCTGTTAGTTCAATATGGCCATCGTGAAAAAAACCAAGAGTGATTGTGAACAAGGAGCGTTTCCTTGTCACACTATTTAATACGCAGTCAGGTTTGGTGAATTTAATTTTAAAAGTGTTGCATTAATATGGCCAACTTTAATTACAGGAAAAGGAAAGTGGAAAGGGAGCATGCCTGTATGTGTCCTCAGCAAAAAGTTCAGATTCAACAACAATCATCATCAAGAAGCTGGAGACCATTAGGATTTACTGTTAACATTAGGAATCAAGCATTGCATCAGCTTCACAGTTATGTGCCTCCATGAGGATGGCTCTTATTGTGTTGGAAGACTGTGAAGAAAACAATTTCATTGAGACTATCAAGTAAGTATCCCCTTTGTTTGTAAGTCTTTCCACTCTTAAAGACTTCATTGTGAGTGGTCAAATAAAGTTCAATTAAATGCATGATAATAAACACAAAAAAATTAGACACTTCTGATAGGCTGAAAACAAGTGCATTTTTCACACAGCACAAGTGCAAAGTTGTAACACAAGTGCATGTTATAAATAGTATGCTGTTAAAATTGTGAATAAGTGCTACACATGTACAAATTGCACTTGCCTTATGCACTCTTGCAATTATGTTGTCTTTGAAAAATTTACTTGTGCTTATTATCACCAAATTGTTTTGAAAAGTTATTACCTGAACAGGATTCCTTTAAAATGTTGTATGGATTACATGCAACTGCATGAGTTAGCATTGCGAATATTTCACATTGTGGATTGTGGACAATAAGTGACAATATAAACTAAAGGGTAATTTTCACTGGCTTTTTGAAGCTTTTAACTATAAATTCTCTCTGAACATTTTGCTTTCAATAACTTTTCCATAGTTTCTCGATTATAAGGCGAACTTGGTTCTAAGATGCACCTCAAACTTAGTAACTTAGTCAAGCCAAGTTCCCAAACTGAAAATTACGTGAAAATACTTGGTTATAAGATGCACCAAAAGGATGAGAGTTAACAAAAGGATTTAATGGAACTGAGAACAATTATTCCTACACAACTGGCATGCAAACTCTTTTGTTAAAATGTAAATAAAAGTGAAAAAGTCCCACATTTAATGATCTATGCAAAAACCAAGGCTAAAATTTCACACCTGATTATGAATATTCAATGATCCTGATTTCATTCTATTAACCCTTTAACTCCCAGATCCAATTTGTAATTCTCCTTACCATCAACCATACAATTCTTACAATGTTCATTCAGAGAATTTTGTTTTGGATCAAGTAATTATCCCCAAATTGATCTTTTCCTTTAATCTCATCACTTATCTAGTTGCTATTGTATAAATATTTTAAGGAGAAATTCTGTCTTGATCATCCATGGGAGTTAAAGGGTTAAACATCAACCAACTGATTTAAAACTCAGTTGTAAAACTAACTGATGCATTCTCATCCTAAACAGTCAGAGTTTAACTTCGACTTCTTGTTCGATTGCAAATATGCTAAGCACTTGCCGTCACTGATATGACCTCAACTTCAAGTTGAAAATTGTTGCCAAAGCTGAGGCAGTCAACAACAATCGTGAAATTGCCCATGAATATGGCATTTCAGAATTCATGGTGAGAAAATGATGCAACCAGCAACATGTCCTGTTTTCTGGTGGGCTGCCAATGATAGCAAAGTGTGTATCCTTGCAACACTATGAACCAAAAGACCTGAGTTGGATATCATGTTACTGAGCACGTGTGCAAATTTCCACTTGTTTGCTTTTCTATAGAAGTTGATTTAAGTGTTCTAAAAGCAGTATTCATTTTTAATTCATAGGAATAAAAGTTTGAATTCGATGTAATCTTCGCTACACCTCAGACCAAAAAGCTCTGCTTTTTCTCCTTTTTCTCCTTTTCCTCCTTTTTCTCTCAACAGTTAGTGTCCTTTTCTTGTCTTTTTAACTACAGTATAAGTTCTGCTAAAATTGTGATATCAAGATTTTGTTGTGCAAAAATACTTGGCTATAAGATGCACCTCAATTTCAGCATTAACTTTCCAATCAAGGAAAGAATTTTCTTGTAAAAACCATGTGCCTTAGAGCCAAGAAACTACGGTAAATTCTCTTTGAACATTTTGCTCCATTTCTTTCTACCAAAATTTGTCACTATGTATTTTGTGGTGTTTGTTTCCCAAAACTTGTGGAAGATTCTTTCTCTCCTAGACAGTCATGGCCTCAGTGGCTGTTTCAATGAATATACTTGGTCATCATAACCTATTTTGTTTCAACAGATCACCGAAGGATGATGATACAACAAGCACACGCCCATTGTATTTATTTCTATGTCAGGTAAAGCTTTCTTTCTGGTTACTTATATCACCACCTCTTGTATGGTAGGGCCAAAGCAGCCCTCTCTTATTCCTTATTAAGGGTTAAAACCAGTTATAACATGTGTTGGAAACATTGTGCCCTTACCAAAAACAATATGCACGGAAAATGTTTACCAGATAAGGGTAAATATTACCTGAATGGACTAATCAGAGCACTTTGTTTTGCACCACTTGTGGGCTGTAATGGCGCAGGATTTACTTCCCTTCCTAGGTTTAAAGGTGAAATAAGATGCAAATCAGCTATAGAATGGCACGCTGGATTCCAAAGAGTGACACGGCTTTGTCTGCAAAGTCATTTTACAATCAGCGTTGTATCAAACATTGTTGACATGAAGGTGTTTTATTGAAAGGTTCTAGGTGATAAGTTTGGGCATGTAAAACCAGTTATATGGCGTTAACTTGCAAGCTTTGTGATCGTTCATTGAGCTGACAGACAATGTGCACCATTACCTTTCCAAAATTCATTTTTCTTTACAAAGATCAGAGCTGACCTCCTTGATCAGTAGTAAAAGAAGGGGCTCTGCAGAAATGTAGGTATTGTTAAAACTAATTTTGAGAAAAAGAGAGTGGTCTAAAATCTATTGTTTATTGTACCTGTAATGATGAACCTATGTCATTGAAGCTTTACAGGCCAGTGATTTTCCATCTCTTCTCATTTTTTCCTAACATCTTGCATGGGTTAATACAGTAATAAATTTAATGGTAGAAAAGTGTGGTGTATTGCATGCCTACCAAAAATAACAACCATACAGAGTCAAGGGCATGTACATGTACATGTACATGTAGGCACAACTTATATAATTTTGCCCCTTCTAAATATTGGTTCAAAGATTAATTTGCAGTGTGTTTTTGAATATGTTTCTTATGATACAGCTTGCAAATATATACTGTTGCAGAAGGCAATAACAAAAAGTACAGTTTTAGTATGTAATAGCTTTTTTATATAGGGTAACTCAGCTGCAGTAATGAATAGAGGGGGTAAGTTTCTAAAGAAAGAGTATAGAAGAGAGTATAGTAGGTAATTTAGTGTTAACAACTGAGTTGAAAACATAAATTAGCCAGCGTAAAGATCTTTTTTCCAATCACTCTGATGTACTAATGTAGTTTTTGACTTTAACAATGATTTGATCTTTTTGTTAATTCTTTTTTACTCTTGATTGTAGTGTGCAATTTTTTTTAGTATTGATTGACAGTTGTTGCAGTACTGTTATATGTATGACTATAAATTTACAAGTTTTTCCTGGATTCTGTCAGATACTTGATGCAAGAGCAGTACATTGATGAGCTTGTGTTCAAATGCTTGACACTGGAGTGTGATTTGGGAAGTGCAGTAAATTGCCTGATAATGCAACCAGGACAATAAACAGGTACATGTATCTATCATGTAGAGTTTGATTAAGTCATGCTTGCTTTAAAATGCCTTACATTATTTTTAGAGTATATTCAGAGTGACAGTGAATTTTGAGTGGTGTGTTATGCCTTAATCCCTCAAAAAAGACAAAACAAAACAAAAGAGAGGGAAAAAAACCAGGACAGTTGTCAATTTAACAGTGGATTTCTTTTTTAAATTACCCAGCCAATTGGTATGTGCTTTGGGTCAAAAATTCATTCATTTTTTACTATTACTACTGGTACTAAGCAATGGAATTAACTGCAAGCAAATCAAACCACCAAACCAAATTCTTTTTAATAATTGGTAGCTCATTTTGTGAAACATCTTGGTTCTGGTTCTCAGTTTCTTCCTGGACATACAACTTTTTTGAAGCAAACACAAAACAAAATTAAAATAATTTTAATTTTATGGCTCTCAACAACATTTTCAATAAGCACACAGCTTTATTACTTAGTTGTATTAATTATTATTAATTAGCTGTGTGCATATTGAAAATGTTGTTGGGAGCCATACACAATTTGGTCCCTTTAATAAAATTGTAAGGTCACTTGAAGATTTCTTAAAATGTTCTCTCAGTTATAATTAGGTAGATTTTACTTCAATTCAGCTCATTTCCTTTTCATTTTATTGTGACACACAGTATAGCCCTTTTCAGTCTGGTGAATACTTGCACACCTTGCAAAACAAAAATATAATTGCCAAATAATAATGTGATTCATGTAGCTTTACAAGGGAGACATTGTCTTAAAAATTTCTTCAACATGTTGTTGCAGTTACTCCTAAATCAAAGAGGCCTGGCATTGTTAGAAAAAGGAAATGATGCAGATTTTCTATCATCAAGGAACAATGATTGTGAAGGTATGATATTTGATTAACCCTTTTACTCCCATTAGTGACCAAGACAGAATTTCTCCCTACAATATCAATACAATATCAAGTGGACAAGTGATGAGAATGAAGAAAAATATCAGTTAGGTGATTATAAGTTGACTCAATACCAAATTCTCCAAACTAACATCACAAGAACTGTATGGCAGACAGTGAGGAGAAATTGCTAATTAGATCTTGGGAGTTAAAGGGTTAAGTGCTATCTGATGGAACAAGCTGCAAAAGGAGCCAATACATTTATAACTTGCAAGCCTTTGAAAACTGCATACCATGACTTTGTGTTCTCTCAAAATTATAGTTTTCCCTGCTTATAACCTAGTTGCCTAGTTGTAGGTCAGAGTAAGTGGGCTAGTTGTAGCAACTTGTCTGCTTTATGTGTTTAGCACTTGTTTTGTAAGGATTTGATAATATTTGATACTTTATATTTGAAAAGTTTTGGATTTTTGATGTCAACACCTAGAGCTTCAATGTGAACCAAAAGTTGGCTGCTGACATAATGTACAGTACTTACTTACAGTATATGGGATGGAGCAACTCATCCTGCAACCTAAATGAAGCACTCCTCCATCCCTGTTGGGACTGTTTTGGTTGCCCTTGTAATATTATGTAGTGTTAGTAGTACAATCATGCACTTGAGGAGAACTTTTGAGATTACTCGAGCTTGTGGTTTTACATGTATGTGATGGTCTTATGCAGTACAGAATCCCTCTAATTCCAAGTTTTAACCAGGTGCTGCAACAGCAAGCCCTAAAGATTGGCAAATTCCAGCCTCAAATTGGGGTCTACACGCACCTTCAATTTTGTCATATTTACATGGCTATGACAGCTAACAATGTGCATATAATCACATTAATCCACTCTTGATCCCTTTATCACCTATGCATCAGCAAGACTAATCATGAGGAGAAGAGTGGTGTGCCTATCCCAGCAAAGCAAATGTCATGGGGTGATGTGAACCACACACAGCTGCTGCCACTCCATCCATATCACTATTATCATCATGTATCAAATGGAAAAAGTAATGTTCATGTAAAGAAAGACAGAGGTGGCACAGAGAGCACCATTATGTCTAGTGGGTATATGCAGAGTGATAAGTGGCAACCTTCAGTGGTTACAAAAGAAGAGGGCAAGAAGCAGGCCATGGAGGAAACGCCACAAGATATTTCCTCCACAAAACAAAAAGAGGCAAATAGAAGCTGGATGGCTCAAGTGCTAATTACAATGACAAAAACAATCAAGCTGGAACAAAGACAAAAGCTGATAAAAGTGATAAGAGATTAGCTAAGAAAAGAATGTGAATGCAGAAGTTGCTCCCCAAGGTATGCTTTTTGTCAATTACTGATACCATAACTAAACAGTTTTCCTAAGATGCAAGACTGTACATACTACCAGAGCCTGGAGCTGACTTTTTATCCTGTTGACCAACTCACTGGTGACCCCCATCTCTAACTCAGATAATTTTCATTCACTGGTATATGCAAAATTTGCAAGTGACAGTTCATGCATTAAGTAAATTACTCAATGTTTGAGCAAAATTGAAACTAGCTTCCTTACTAAATTCAACATCATAATAAAACAAATTATGCCTTCCTCGAGAGGTCAATTATTGTAGTGGACAAACTTGTCAGAAATACACAATTTGTTCATTAGCTGTTCAATGTGGCTAACGAAAAAATAACAAAAATTATCTGTGAACAAGGAGCTTTTCCTTGTCACTTACTATTTTTAAATAGTAAGTGACAATAGTAAGTATTATTATAATAGTAAGTTAATAAATAGGTAGTCAGGTTTGGTGAATTTTACAAGTGTAACAGCTGTATTAATATGGCCAACTTACTGTAATTACAGGAAAAGGAAAGTGGAAAGGGAGCATGCCTGTATGTGTCCTCAGCAAAAAGTTCAGATTCAACAACAATCATCATCAAGAAGCTGGAGACTATCAGGATTTACTGTTAAGAAGGAATCAAGCATTGCATTAGCTTCACAGTTATGCGCCTCTGTGAGGATGGCTCTTATTGTGTTGGAAGACTGTGAAGAAAACAATTTCATTGTTACTATCAAGTAAGTATCCCTTTTGTTTGTAAGTCTTTCCATTCTTAAAGATTTCAATGTGAGTGGTCATCAGTAAAGTTTGACAATTAAATGCATGATAATATACATGAAAAAATTATGCACTTCTTATTGGCTGAGAACAAGTGCATTTTTCATGCAGCACAAGTGCAAAGTTGTAACACAAGTGCAGATTATAAATAGTATGCTGTTGAAATTGTGAATAAGTGCTACACGTGTACAAATTGCACTTGCCTTATGCACTCTTGCAATTATGTTGTCTTTGAAAAATTTACTTGTGCTTATTAACACCAAATTGTTTTGAAAAGTTATTACCTGAACAGGATTCCTTTAAAATGCTGTATGGATTACATGCAGCGAATTAGCATTGCAAAGATTTCATTTTGTGGATTGTGGACAATAAGTGACAATGAATATAAATTTCAGGGTAATTTTCACTGGCTTTTTGAAGCTTTTAGCTATAAGTTCTCTCTGAATATTTTGCTCCATCTCTCTCCACCACAATTTGTCACTATGTATTTCGCTTGCTTCCCAAAAACTGCTGAAGATTCTTTCTTCCTTAGACAGTCATGGCCTCAATGGCTGTTTCAGTGAATA